CTTGCGCTCTGCCGGATGCGCTTTTATACTTCCTGGTGCTCACGTCACCCCGCTCGTGATGTCTCGCTGCTCCATTGGGCTGATTTTACATGTGCTTCAGAACGCGGTCACGCAGGGCCGTTCCCAAAGCGATCTCGAGCAAGCGTCTCGTTCCCTCGGGGAACCATGGTTACATACGTAACCTAGAGACGTTAGTTACCAATAACAACACTATTGCAGGTAGAAGTTTTTTGTCTGTTTTATGGCTACTCAAAAATCATAAATCCTATTGCTTAGAATATTTTTAGCATACCTCTCATGGCCAACTAAATAAATAAAATAATAATAATAATAATTAGTAGTACTAGTAGTAGTAATTTTTTTTTAGACTTTTTTGAGATTGCTCTGCTCTGAATATACGTATGTTAATTATGCTTGATAGTGGTAAAAGAAGAAAAAAGAAAGGAAGTAAAATTATTCAAATTTGATCGCTCTTTGAGGGAAAATTTAATTAGAAAGGTTGCATAACTTGCAGTGTGGCCCACAAAATGCATTTTGTTTTGTTTGAACAAAATTAGATTTCAGTTATCAGTACTTGAGGAAGAGTATGCTGCCTCCATGCTGATAGTGAAAAGCCATTGGTTCAGCCCATTGTTTACAAAGGCAGCATAGATTAACAATTCTATTGTAATTTACAAAGAGCTGCTGCATGTTTTCCTATTGGTTAAAATGAAAATTGAACAACTCAGATGTACTAAATGACTAAAAAAAGAATAGAGAAGTACTGATAATCTGTCCATTGCAGCCTTTGGAATTTGGTTCAAAACATATCAGTCAATTATGCACACTTGTCAGTAGATTGGAGATTTTTTTGTGTCTAATTGCCACATAAAATATGCCTGGATAATAGCCTACTATGATAATTGTGTTTATTCTTTCCTGCTGTTATGAAACATGTCTTTGAAGTGTCTGTTTCCAGGCGAGCCAATGGCAGTCAAACATAAAAAAAACATAACAAGCCACCATCGTCACCGCAGAGCCTGCGACTGCCAAATCAATCAGTCAGTCTATCTACGGGAGACACAGACAGAATCGCTCTTCTCTCTTTGGCTCCGAGGTGCCCACAGAGCGCAAAGTCATTCATATTACAGGCAGCTATAACTTCTGACTCAAAAGTGGAGTGGTTATTATCAAGTGTGTGATTGCCTTGGGGGTGTACCCACCGCTGAAAGCTTAAGTTTAGTTTGTTCTCTACTACAGCAGAAGAGAGCTGATTAAATGCTTCAGGAAACACATGCAAAGCAGAGATGGCTCATTAGCCAGGAGAGGAAGAGTGGAAGATGGAAGGAGGGAGAGAAAAAAAGAAAGAAAGAGATGAGAGACTGAGTGGCTGCTGCTGAATAATACACTCGCTGCTCTGGTGACGTTTATCTGTGCATCACCAACATGTTGCTTAGTGGCTGTTTGAGCGATTCAGAAGATTCAAACTCCTTTTGAAATAAGAAGCCTTTGTTATCTTTAGATGTCTTTGACAGAGAAAATATGAGCATTATGACTTTGAATCAAACAAACTGATGTAATTTATACTTCAGTGTAATTAAAATATATCAGTATATTGTTTTTCTTGCTACTTCTATATTTTCAAACACATGATGGCGCACAAACTACAACAGAGCAACATTATTATGGTGCACAAATTGACATTTTATTTCTGTAGACCTCAAGTGAGCACTTACCTGGACGTGGGGGGAGGTGGAGGGGCTGAGCAATCTTCAGTCGACTTTTCAAATCTTCCCATCTCCTCTGATCCACGGTCAAAAGAGCAGTGCCCTAAACAAACATATCCAACAACATCTGATCAGGGATCAGCCAACGAATCTACTGTAGCTACTCATAAGAAAACTGCCATACCTTATTTTCATTAAAGTTGGCTATGACAACACCAACAAAAAGAGTGAGCCCGATCATACAGCCCAAGAACACAAAGACGTGGATGTAGATGCCATGAATCTGTTTTAAGAGACAATCAAAGGTCCTAAACAGTGCAGTCCTGATCTGTCAGTTCAGTATACAGTTTAGTGTCTTAATGAAAGTAACTTACCGGTCCCACTCTGTGTATGATGACGTCTCTCACCTCCACCCAACCCTTCAGTGACAGCACCTCAAACAGAGCCAGCATGGCGTTGCCTACATTATCGAAATTGAAGTTTCGAGGGTTTGCCCTAAAAACAGCAGTTCAAGAGATATTTGGCATATTTATTTGTGTCTATTCTTAGGAAGAAAAAAATTTCACCCCTAAATCAAAAGTAAAATATTAAATTATATCTTACAAAATTAAGCCTGTTTTTTAATTTTCCATTGTGACATTATTTTCATGAGCACATTTACTCACTCCTTGCTCCCCAATTCGCAGTAACTTTCTGTTATGAAAAAAAAATCAAATTCTTATTACTGTAATGCAGAAAAAATAATATTATAAATGTAAAGTATATGTGTAAAGTTTAATTGTAACCATACATCTTATTAGTATTGTTGTACTGAAAATAATTTATACTGATTAAAAAAAGTATTTGCATAGAATGATTTTCATTATAGTATGTAATGGTCATGAAAATAATGTCACAACGGAAAAACGTTAAAGACACTAAAATTTTATTTGATTGAAATATGAACCAGATATTTATTTGTTATATTCACCCTTAAAGCAATGACATGAAACAACATGAAATGTTGAATCTAAGTAATTGGTAAGGTAGTAATTTAATTGGTAAAAAAGGTAATTTAGGGACCAATTCTCACTATTAACTAGTTGCTTATTAGCATGCATATTACTAGCATATTGACTGTTTATTAGTACTTATAAAGCACATATTCTGCATGACCATATTCTACATCCTTAATCCTACCCAATACCTAAACTTAACAACTACCTTGGGGCCAAATATTTTTTGTCAACTCATCTTCTGAGTTAAAGATAAAGTTCCACTGCTCTTAACACATAGAAAAAAACAACAAGGTGGAAAAAACTTCAGCTGTTCCGTTTTATAATCTCAGGTATAAAATATACCAAAATGTTATGGTGTCTGTCTGCCTGTCTGTCTGTCTGTCTGTGTGTGTGTGTGTGTGTGTGTGTGTGAGCGGACTGGTGACGCACTGCTCTATGGGCTGAACATGAACACAATATCCACAATACCCAGAGGATCAAACACCTTGTTCGTTTCCTGTTACCATGCAAGATGCTCAAAGGTAAAAGAAAAAATAACTCTCTCTGTTATTCAGGCTTAGCAGAAACCTTGCTTGCTCTAGAACAGCTATGGACCAATGTGTGCCTTTTGCTGGTCTTCATTATTTAACGTCTCACAAATAATTTGCCATTGTGTTGCTACATATCTCTAGAGCAATAACAGACTCATTGGTGTGTGGGTGTATGATTGTGTGTTGTTTGTGTTTATGCCTGAGGAAAGGATATATCAGCCCCCTGCTCTGTGCCCACAACAAACCATACAACTGCACTGCAACACTGATTATTGCTAATGGGGAAAATACAATGAAAGACGATGAAAATGTGGTGCTGTTTATGTGATGAGAGCATTCATCATACTGGTTTGTGCTGTCATAGATGAGCTGTTACTACAGGGATTTCTCAAAAACACCTAAATACTGAAGATGTGACAGGTTAGGTTTGTGTTGAATTTATTCTGTGCTTTTAAAAGGAAAATAATTTATTTATTTTAGGATTTATTTATTAAAGGAAATAATTTTTCTTTCAAATCTTAAAAATTTAGTCAAATTTTAGACAAATGAATAGCAAAATGAGAATTTTATTTTGCATTAATAATAATTTCACAAAAAAAAATCTGAATGGCACCCATGCAAAAGTCACTGGTAGTTGCCAGGGTGTTGCTACATGGTTGCTATGTGTCCTGGGTGGTTTCTAGAGTAGTTGGTAGGGCATTGCTACTACGATATGTTAAGGTGTTCTGAGTCTTTGCCAGGGTGTTCCTATGTGTTTGCCAGTTTGTTCAGAGGAGTTGCTAGTATTCTGGGTGGTTGCCAGGGCATTGCTATGCAGTTGTTAAGGTGTTTCAAGATGTTTCCAGAGTATTCTGGGTGGTTTCTAGGGTGTTGCTATGGAGTTGCTATTTTGTTCTGATGAGTTTTTGGGTAAGTGGTTGCATATTGGCCCTTACTAGTCTCAATGATATTCTGGTCCCTAAATATGACTTGAGTCCCTTCTTCATTGTGTTTCTTTGTATGCCTGTTTTATCACTGAACAGACAAATTCAACATTGCTTAGAAATCGCAAATATCAACAAGTCACAAATTTGATGTATCATTCATGTTTTAAGCACAAACAGTAAAGGGTTGAATAATCTTAAGTATAAGCAACAGTCAAAGTGATGCTTGCCTTAAAAAAAAAACAGAAACTATAGAGAACATTCTTTTTCCATTTCATACCAAACTCTTGGCACCCAGAATCCTGGTTTCTTCTCGCCTGGCCTGAGCTTTAAATTCAGGTTCTTTGAAATGCTCACATTGATTCTAAAGATGCCGTGGCAGTCCTCCTGAAAAAGAACACAAAGCACAAAATTTCAGTGAAGTACAGAAAATCCTCCACTTAGGAACATAGTTTGAAAAGTTGCAAGAATTACATTGTACCTTACTGGAGATATGGGGATCATTACATTTGGCAAGTTTTCCAGCAAAGAGTTGCACCCCGAAGGTTGCAAACACCAGCATTAGTGTCAGAAGAAGAATAGAGACCTGTTTGGGAAATCAATAATCCAGTCTACAGCGAAATGGCTTTCCCACAAAATATGGTCAGTATATTACTCTCACATACAGTAACACTATAAAAAGCTCAAAGAAAAGTACCCAAGGGGAGCAAAGCTTTAATAAAGAAGGTCCATAAAGAAATCTCTCAGACAAATACTGCTGAGTTAATGCATTACATCCCATTACTGCAAAGAAGAGAGCTTCCTGATTTTCAATTAAAGGGGTAATATCACAAAACATTTTAAATAAAAGTGTTTAATGTACTCAGAATGCAAACCTCTTTGTTTCAAAATATCATCTATTGAAACAATGCTGCAAAAAAGACAAAATGCTACAAAAATTTATGTTAATAGGCATAAAGAGGAAACAAAAAAGTTAGCACGAAAAATATATATCTTAGAAGAATTAACAAACAGCCAGCCATAACTGCTCCCCTTTTATTGAGCGACTACAAGCAGGAAGTGGGTTTGATTTGCTTACTCACCAGGAAGATCTCTTTGAAACCCTTGAGGACCTCTCGAACCACCTTCCTCATTTGGGGCACCAGTTTAAAGATACGCAGTGGCCGTAGGCAGCGTAGCATCATGAGGAGCTGGGCACCAGACTCAGGAGGCACATTGTTTGGTAGCCAGCATAGAAAGATCAGACTGACCTACAGAGTGGGCAGAAAGATCACCTTAATGGGCACAACTCTTCATTTAATCCTTGTCTTGAGCGTGAAATCACTAACTGCAGATTATTTTTCTATGGCACATTGCTTTATTAAAATAAATGCAATAAAACTCATGAAATAGTCAGCAGTGGAGGTGTAGGCTGTTCTATTAAATGCAAATAATTTTTGTGAGAGACAGGCAGAATTCTTCTTAAATGAGTCAACAGGATGAAACTGACGTGACTGGGTAATTTAAATAAAACGCTGTTTAGGATCATTAAAACGCAATCTTCAGAGCCTTATTAGAGAAGTGAGTAATCAGCATGAAGGCTGCCTTTCACATGTGTCGGAATGTGGGTTTTTCACAGGAGAGCTGAGAATGGAGTTTTACTAAGTAGATGAAGATGTCCATGACGCCACCGAAGTCTCGGATGACTGCAGTAGGAGTGAAGAACAGACCATCTGCCATGATCTTCAGGTTCAGCTCAATGCTCATGAAGATGACAAAGACGTATTCTCCAATCTGCAGGGAAAGAGGTGGTTTAGTGTAAAATAGAATACAATTTTTCATAAAGCAGCTTTTTATAAAAAATTTAACTGAAGATTTGCCAGCTTTGTCATAACAATTCATTGTCTGTTGGTAATTTAGAAATTGTTGGCAAATTAGTAATTTAGAGTGTCATTACCAGAGGTGGACAGTAACGAACGTCTCGGTTACATATGTAACTCTCGTTCCCTGAAGGAGGGAACGGAGACGTCATGTCGGTGACCGACGAATTGGGATCTCGCTTTGAGAGACCAATCTACTTCGAGTGTAACTAAACGAGCTGCTGTAGTGTTTTAAGCACCAGAGACAGGTCCCAAGAGGGTATGGAGAGGGGCCGGGAAGGATTTAACTTCTCGCCCCCCTAAGGAACCTGATGACCGGGTCATGCTTCCCTACCGACTTCCCTTCCACGGGGTCATGGTTAGCAGCAATCGTTTTTTCTTTTTTTTCTTTTTTAGCGACATAAACTTAAAGGGTGGAGGGAGACAGCCTTCGCTCCAACCCTTGCTGAAAAAAGGAAAGCACGACCCTGATTGGGCATCTCCGTGGGTCTTCTCGGTGAGAAGAACACCACTCGACGAACAGGTTCCACTTCAAGGCGTAAGCGTGTCTTGTAGACAGTGCTCTCGCCGAAGTGATGGTGTCAACTACCTCCTGGGGGAAGGGTTGGCGACAGGCCGGTGTAGTTTGAACCCGGTGAGTGCCGCGCTGCCACGCCCACCTCGGGACTCGGCCATGAAGCCAGTGCTGGAGCGGTCTCATATGAAGCAGCCCCAGCGGCGTAACTGCCGCTGCAACAGCCATATGCCCCAGGAGCCTCTGGAATAGTTTCAGTGGGACTGCTGTCCTTTCCTTGAACGAATTCAAGCAGGTCAGCACCAACCAC